CCACCGTGCCGTCAATATGGCGTTTGATTGGAAAGAATCACGTTTTTTGTTTTGTTATTTTTCATTCTTAGAATCTAGAAACTGTTAGATTTGTTTAACTACGAAACATAGTTACAAAATGCATATAGAAAAAAAAACATAGTCACAAAATATAAGGATCAAGGTTTTATATTCCAACATTTACGAAAATAATATTAATATATTCGAAAGTGTCATATCCTTTATATTTTCAGTCGAATTTTATTTGAGTATATTGTACGTTATCATTGTCGACGAATAATAGATAGTTCCAAAGACCAAGAAAGAAAGGTCCATCAAGCCGAAGTATGTAAGCATATGTTTCAATTTCAGAAGTGTATTGAGGACATCAAGATCGATTTTCATCGCCATCAAATTGTTTTTTGATCTCAGAAAAGAACCAGTGAATAGGATTAGGATATAGTTGGAAAAAACTTCGGTTAAGCGGTTTCAATTTTCATTTTTCTAACTTTTCCAAATTGTCTCCCTTTTTAGAGTTGTTGTCCCCATAAATTTTAACACTTTTTTACCGGCTTAGTTTCCAGAGATATTTCTCTTTTTCGCTAGCGTATGTAATTTTACCAAATTTTTAATAAAATTTACGGTGACAAAAAAATAAAACTAAAGAGAACTGATATAAATATGAAACAAAGATAGTAATATCCTTAAAAATGTCTTTATCATCAGCTAGCAGAATGAACATATTACAAGTTTCAAGCCAATTCAAACAATTATTAGATAAACTATTTCATTTAATAAATAATAAAATTTATTGGTTACATCTATACTATTAACTAGGATATGACCCGCGGTACACCGCATGTTAATTATTTGATTTTTTTATTCTTTTTATAAACTAATAAATTTGTTGTGTATAATATTTCCTGTTGTATCGCGGATCATATGCGTTGTATCTAAAAAATAAAAACTTTAAGTTGTATTTATTTTGTTTAGTGTTTAAGACTGTATAATTGTATTTTGATTTGTTAATTCTAGGATTTTACCCGTGGTATATTTTCCCATATTAATATCGACCCAAACCCATCCCACCATATAATTCCGTTATGTGAAATTAAACATCATTTTGTTATTTTTTTAATAATACTTTTATTTAAAAGACATATAATTCGAATCAATTTAAAAGTTTGCTTTCAAATGATTTTCATAATATATATATAAATATATATATATATATATATATATATATATATATATATATATATAAATATATATAAATTTTTTAAATTATGTGTTTTTGGACCCACCCGTAAAAATAATTTACAATTGTATTTTGATTTGTTAATTTTAGGATTTCACCCGTGGTATACACTTCCGTTTTAGATAATTTTAGAAATTAAGAAAAGATCCGAATGACTCAATTTTGGGTCATAATAAAAAAAACGACCTGATTAATTGCACAATTTGTTATTCAAAAATGTTAATATAAATTGCACACATACTTTTTTTCTTCATCAACTGAGTAATATATGTCCGTTTAAAAATAATTTGAATTATAACATATGCAGAAAAAACTAAATTTTACTATATGTATATATTATAATAATTCAAAATAATTTAAATATAACATCAAATAAAAGTGAAATGAGAATCATATATTTATGTTTAAATTAATTAGAGAGATTTTAGGAAATTCGCTCAAATTTGTTATATTAGCATTAAATCATCAGATTTGATTTCCTTATCTATAAAAATCGTAAACAACTAGGATATGACCCGCGGTACACCGCGGGTTAATTATTTGATTTTTTTATTTTTATAAATTGATGAATTTATTGTGTATAATATTTTTTGTTGTATACCGCGGGTCACATGCGTTGTATCTAAAATAAAAAATTTTAAGTTGTATTTATTTTGTTTAGTGTTTAAGATTGTATAATTGTATTTTGAATTGTTATTTATAGGATTTCACCTGTGGTATATTGTCTCGTATTAATATTGACCCAAACCCGTCCAACCATATAATCTAAAATGAAATTAAACATCATTTTGTTATTTTTTTAATAACACTTTTATTTAAATGTCATATAATTCGAGTTAATTTGAAAGTTGCTTTTAAATAGTTTCCATGTATATTTTTAAATTAGTGTGTGTTTTTGGACCAACCCGTAAAAACAATTTATAATTGTATCTTAAAATACTAATTAGGATTTCACCCGTGATATACTGTCCCATTTTAGATAATTGTAAGAATTAAAGAAAGATCCGAGTGACTCAATTTCGGGTCTGAATAAAATAACGACATGATTAAATGCTCAATTTGTTCTTAAAAATGTTAATATAGATTACACACATATTTTTATTCATCGATTGAGTAATATATGTCCGTTTTAAAAAATTTGAATTGTAACATATGCAGAAAAAAAAACTAAAATTTACTAACTATTTATATATTTTATAATAATTTAAAATAATATAAATATAAGATCAAATAAAAGTGAAATAAGAATCATATATTTATGTTTAAATTAGGTAGAGAGGTTTTAGGAAATTAGTGCAAATTTGTTATATTAGCATTAAATCATCATATTTGATTTCTTTATCTATAAAAATCGTGGAGAATATACCATAAATAAAGCGTTTAAATATAGTAATTAGTTGAGAAAGTATATATATTTTAGATTTTATTAATTATTTTCGTTTTTTAATTTTGCCAAAATTTAAGGAAAGATCCGATTGAAGATTTCCGGGTCAAAATTAAACAAATTTGACCCGATTTGGGTACCCCAAAAACTGCTGCAAAAATGTATAGTAGATATACCATAAATTAAGAGTTTACATATAATAATTAGTTGAGAAATATATATATTTTAGATTTTATTAATTAATTTCGTTTTTGAAAAAACGTCGGTTAAGCGGTTTCAATTTTCATTTTTCTCTTTTTCGCTACGTATGTAATTTTACCAAATTTTTAATAAAATTGACGGTGACAAAAAAATAAAACTAAAGAGAACTGATATAAATATGAAACAAAGATAGTAATATCCTTAAAAATGTCTTTATCATCAGCCAGCAGAATGAACATATTACAAGTTTCAAGCCAATTCAAACAATTATTAGATAAACTATTTCATTTAATAAATAATAAAATTTATTGGTTACATCTATACTATTAATTGGGAATTATTAGATATTAAATAACTTATAAATAATAAAATATTACATAAGATACCATTGGTTTTTAGTGTTTTTAAATAAATTCATTAAGGGTACAATAGTAATCACAAAATTAATATATTTAAATAAAAAATAAAAGATAGTAAAATTCTTTTAAGTAATTAGTTTCCAAAAAATTAAACTCACTTTCTCTCTCTTATTAATTATGGATGAAAATTTGAAATTAATTTCTAAAAAATTGTTAACCAATGAGAATTGCAAAACTAAGATTTGATATCCAACTAAGATTTTATATAAACCAATTCTAATAGACTATTCTATATCAAAAATAAAAAGAAAAATAATATCATTTTAATTCAAAATTAAAAAAAAATATCGTTTAAAATTTTTTTATCAATGGTGGATTTTAAGATTGAATTTGAAATTTCGTAAAAAAAATTAAATACAAATATTTAAGATTCATTTTGTTATAATATTTTCACAAATTTTGAAATATTAAACGAAATTTTATTTCACAATTTCTAAAAAACGATATTAGATAGTAACAAATATTTATATAACTATGAAATAAACTCAAATAATGATAAATTTAAAGTAATTATCATTATGGCCTTCGTTTAGAGCAAGTTTTGGAAAAATCTAAATAATAGATTGTACATATTAATTTCAAAATATTTTGTGTTTTATTTTTTTCTTTTCAATCGGATCTTCCTTAAATAATTCCATGATATATTGCACACAAATTTTGAAATAATGTGAACTAATTATATTTTTTGCATTCAAAAAAAATTATGCAGCAATAGCATATCCTTTTTATAGATGTATCTCAAATTTGTATTTTTAGTCAAAAAAATCAAATTAATTATGATTAAACAATGAAAAGGAAAATATCTAAAATTTAGCTTAGGAAAGAAACATTAATAAATTTGTTAAAATATATTTATAACTTTAACAGCATACATATTAATCCGCAAAATCACTGTATATATTATATGATATTTAAAGGTAAGCAAACAAAAATTTGGAACATGATTTTAATGGAATGAAATGGGAATAGGAATTACGAGACAGGATGGAAGGGGAATATAAATTAAAAATCAAACTAAATACCCAACTGGTATGAGTTCGGGTTATGAGTACTATATAAAATAAATTTGTTTACACACATAACCATGTACGTACGTTTTCAGTTACACATAATCTATTTATGATGGATACAGGACCGTAATATTTTTATTTCACGTATACGTGACAGGTTATGGGACAAAGAATTTATGACAGATACAAGACGTGATAAGTTTCCCGTTCCAAAATAGTTACGCCTAGCTAATATACATGAAATAGCCCAAACTAAAACCGAATCCATATCCTATTTAGCATCTGTAATCAAACTGTTAGAAATATTTTGATTAGTTTAGAGAATTAACACGTAACATCACTTAACTTTTGCAACTAAATTAGTCCGGATCTTAAAATATAATTAAGCACTTACGCAACTGAATTCCGTTCATTACTCTAACTTTATAATATCTATACTATTACGAAATTCACTAATACAACAAAATATTTTATATTCTTAAAATCTATATAACAATTTCAATAATAATATATCTGCACGTACGTGTGGATCCATATCTAATACACTAAAATATATATCATAAAAACAACAAAATAATTTATATTGAATTAAAAGTTGTTATAAATTCTTTTAAAATAAGAAATATCGCACGTACGTGCGGGTCATGAT